CCTTCCTTCCTTCCTTCCTTCCTTCCTTCCTTCCTTCCTTCCTTCCTTCCTTCCCACTTTAATTAACCTTAATGTAAGGAAAAAAATGTTGTTATTCCTCAAGACATAGTATGTTTCCGGGAGAAAAAGAAGCAATATAAGACCTTAGAATCATATTTTTTCATAATTTGTTCAACCAAATTAAAATTCTCCATGGCATTTAGATCGAGCCATGTATCTGAACACCATGAAACAGATTAAAGCCAAATAACAATTGCGGGCCTCCGTCTTGCTAGACTGCAAATAGAAGAATGAGAAAATCCAACTATTTTTGCAGAAGCACTCCTCTACTTAATTTTTGCCCCTTCTTCCTACCCAATATATTTTATTTTCTCTTTCAGGACCGTTACATGATTCTAGGTCAAAATGGATTTTTTGTTAATCCTTCTGATTCCCTGGCCATTATTGCAGCAAATCTCCATTTCATTCCGTATTTTCGTCAGATGGCTGTGCGAGGGTTTGGTAGGAGTATGCCTACCAGCACTGCATTGGACAGGTAGGAGACAAGATTCATTGGTATCATGATATATCTGGACAAGGGTAGGGAATTCACTGCTCTATTCAACTCCCAACCCCTTGGTTGCACTTCCTACAACCTCCAGAAATTCTGCAGTTAAATTTCAGCCGTAAACCACCAAGACATGATTTCCCTCATATTTTATTTTCCCCTAGTTTAGGGCAGTAATAAAAAAATGGTTACATAAACAGTTGTCTTAGGGCACCCAAAACATGGCAAAATATTCCTCCAATCTATCTCCCAAAATACCCCCACCCATGTGGGGGGTATCACTATGCTGCCCTTTGTGGTCTTTGACTGCTTCCCATTTTTTTTCTTAGTCTTTCTTTTTACAAAGTGCAGTTCCCAGTTGTTCTGAAAGTCACCTACTTAATTTAAATAATTGAGATGAGTTTGTTAGTTATTAGAATGCCTTCCACAGCACTAATGCTGTGCTAATCAGAGCGGTAAGTTCAGGAAGAGGTTATGAAATATTCAAACAGATTCTGAATATGGATTGGTGTGTGTCTGCATTTTAAATATGCAACTCGTGATTTGGTGTAATAAATAGTGCCATTTACTAGCATCTGCATGCTAAATAATGGATAATCCAACAGGATTAAAAAGTGGACTAAAATACATTAGATACATTACTTGCTAAGTTCAGCTGCTATTATCCAGAGGGCCAATTGTTACTTTTGATTTATTGCTTGTATGATATTTATAGACATGCTGAGTTTAGCTTCAGCGAAATTTCTTTTCACAGGTAGTCCTTATTTAGCAACCGCAATTGGGACTGGCAACTCGGTCACTAAGTGATGTGGTTGCTAAGTGAAAAATCATGTGACCGCAACCATGGTTATGATTTTACTTCAGCTTTTCTTTGCTTTACAGGGTCAGAAGTATACAACCCCAAACAGCCGGGTGAACCCAAATTCCGGGGAAGGTTTCTGGAATTCGACTGATGAGGAAGCCGGGTAAAAGGGCAAATCTTATAGCCCTTTTTCCCCACTCCCCTGCCCTTTGGAATGCTCATCCCAGCGCTGGGATAATTAGCAAGAAGGGAATTAATGTTTGTATGTACATTCATTGGAGAGGAGAGGAAGGGATTACAAGAGAGTAAGCAGGTACACAATGCAAAATACACATCTAAAGAAACGTGCTGGCTTTGACTGTTTGCCTAGCACGCTCACAGCTGGAGCCCTAAGCTTCTTGGCTGCAAACCAGAAGTGTGAAACTTATTAAAGTGGTGTCAGTTACAGGCAGCAGCTGTAGCTGGCTAATTAAGGTCACAGCTGAGCATGTTAACTTGCCCTTAGCACTTTTTGGGGAAGTGCTGCACTGTGGAGAAAAGCAACTCAGGAAGAAATCACTTGTTTAAGCAATCTCTCTGCTCTGCGAATGGACAGGGAGCGGGGAGAGAAAAAAAAAGGGTCAGGCACAGGACATGTACTAATTGACTGTAATGGTGAACATATGACTCAGAGAGAGGTGCTGTGAAGGTTGTAAATGTGAGCATTGGTTGCAAAGTTATTTTTTTTATCCCCATAACTTCAGATGGTTGCTGCCTGAGGCAGTTGCTAAGCAAGGTCTACCTGTATGTTGTTTTTTTGCATTAAAATGGAATAATGCAAGGATTGTCTCTCATAAGATTTCAGCTATATATCAGTTTTTTTCTTCATAAACAATAATTTATCCATAGACTTTGTCCAGAATCTTACCTAAGCTTTGATTTCAGAATAATGTGCTTATGTTCAAAGGCCTAGGTTCTACTTGGTTTTTTCTGCTTAATTAAATTCAAAATGGATTATGGAAATTTCAGAAACTAATTAATCCTACATATGGGATTTTTATGATTGATAAGTATTCTTCATTTTTTGTGTTCTAATGGTTTTTAAATAAGCTTTATCTACCGTTTGTATGAATATTTGATTCAGTGAAACCTGGCTACTTATTTTACATTAGGTGCTTGAAAATATTGTCTGGCTAAAGCAGAATTTTTTGTGTTATGTAAGATAACATGATTACAGTTATAGTTAGGTTATGAAAAGAGAGATCTTTGCAAGTAATGGTGCAGATCAGCATCAACTGAGATGAGCAAGGGAATATTTGCCTGTTCAACCCAGGGTTATAGGTTAGTGTATTCTTCATTATTTTGATTTAAACTGATAGTCCTTTTAAAAGTACTGCTACAGCATTCTAGGTTCTCTTCAGAATAAAGCACCAGTCATTGGGTTGTGCATATTACTAAATACAGATGTGTGTTATTTTAAAAATAAAATTTAAGCCCTTCTCCATCTTAGTCTTTTTAGCAGGGATAACTTTGTTATGAATTCTGAAAATATCCTTATTTGATTCAGTGTATAAGCAATTCCTGTCATGGAATTGCTGCTGCCAGTATTTTGGTTCACCAGAAGGCCAACCTGCAGGCACTTGAGAGCACATTTCAACACCTTCAGTGAACATTGGCTGGTTGTACAAGAGCAGTGTTTGTGTGTGCCAGATGTAGCTATAGCATTTCTGTCTGCTTTGAAGTAAAGTTTCCCTTTCAAGTGTTTGGGAGTGTTGAATGAAAAAAGACTAGGTAAGGAAAATTGTGTATATAAATCAATTCCACTGTATCAGTTAAATCATGTTGTTAAACATAGTTTGCTCAGGGAGAACTGGAGAAGGAAACAATTCTTTTCAGCTAAGTTATGAAGTATTTCTTCTGTAAACACTGCCTTCCAGATATACTGGAAGGGCTAAATTGTCTTTCCATGTTGCATATTGTAATGCTTTTTATGTTACAACTTCTTCACTTTTAAATCTTTCACTGCTCTCTCTCTCTCTCTCCCCCTCTCTCTTTTTCTCTCCGATGTACTGTATATGTTTAATGTAACTCAAAAATGGAACCCTGATGCTTTCTAAAATCTGATTTAGATATTAGAAGATGTGGTGCTGTATGTAACATTTAATTAGAGATTTGACTGGATAAGCCATTTAGTAATCTGTCCAGTTTCATAATTGCAGCATGTAATGACAAAGGTATTCCCTCATGCCATGGTTACACAATCAGGTTTCTTACTTGTAAAAGATTTCTTCCTTAGGAGGTCAGCTTTCTGCTTTATGATTGTGCAATTTCAGCCAAGAACTCTCTGTAGAGAGCAGATGTAAATGAATAATCTCTCAAAACTGACAGTTAATATTTGGAGAATGCAGCTGCTTTTGGATACAAAAAAATCATAATTTTCTTCTTAATATTGGTTCTCAGAGAGCCAGTTTGGTGTTATGGTTAAGGTACCAGGCTAGAAACTGGGAACTCTGAATTCTAGTCCCACCTTAGGCATGAAGCCAGCTGGATGACCTTGGGCCAGTCACTCTCTCTCAGCCCTAAGAAGGAGGCAATGGCAAACCACTTCTGAAAAAAACTTGCCAAGAAAACTGCAGGGACTAGTCCAGGTAATCACCAGGAGTCAAGACTTGACTCAAAGGCATAAAAAAAAAAAAAAAATTGGCATCTCATATTAATTCATAAAATCTAAAAGCTAACCTGTAGAGTACTTGATCTTCCCAAATTTTCTCAGAGATGCACAGACTTTAGCAACAGCATTCTCTCTTCCATTATATATTTTTTCATTTTACAACAAATAAACTGAATTGAATGTGTGAGATTCTCCAGCTACTTTCAGTGATAGCGAAACTGGGTCTCAGGTAAGAATAGAAAATAGAAATGCTTGAATATAACGAAAATGGGAAAATTCTTTTTAGGGGATATTTCTTATAGCTATCTAAAATATCACACAACAATGTAAGACCTTTTGAATGATCCAGAATTCTTCATAAGGCTATTTATTCATTTACATACAATTATCTATTATTTATCTTATTATATTTTAATATATAGTATTTTGGGGGAATGGTCCAGAAATTCTTCAGGCTAAAATATTGGTGCCCATCTATCAGCTTCATTTCCTGAATGTCTCTGCACCTCATAAAAGTCCAGAGAAATTCTTAGAAGAAGAAATGGCAAGCTTCTGGAGGCTAGATTTTACTACAAAGTGCTCTAAGCCATTTGGAAAAGAAAAAAGTGACTAACCCCATTGTTACTGTGTAGTAAACAGAATAATGGTGGGTGGGTGGAAATTATTTGGGGGAAAGTGGGCCCAATGTGGTAGAAGTAGGAAGTGAGGTGATTAGGGATAAGATGATAAGGACTATGAAAAACAATAAAAAGTTGTTTGTCCAAAGCAGCAAAGTGCAGTGGAGAGAACAAGGAGGAAATCTGTGTACTGTAGATGAACTGGTTCACACATCATCTATAGTACACAGCCAAAACCTAAATCAGTTACAAAACAGTGAATCTATTCATTCTGTTTTGTAAATGATGATTTTAATTGTATGTGTAAATTCAACCATTATAGCTTATTCAACAAGACACAAATCAATCATGGCTTTGCACTCTGTGTGAACTCTGCCATTGTGTCTTGATTGAGATTGTGTGGGAGGGAGATAGAGACAAAGAGCGAGAGGGAGACAGAGCAAGTGTGTCTCCATGTTAGGCAGTTGGATGATCCTTAAAGAGAGAAAAAATTAGTCATGAGTAAGTGGATTTTGCACTCTGGGAATGGCAGCGAATGAGAAAGGTTTGGTTTTGAATATGAGAGAAAGAACTTTGGGTTCAAAGAATTTCTTTTGTTTTGGGGCACAGAATCTATGCCTGTCTTGTGTTGAGGTTCTTGGGGCAAATGTCTGTGAACTTGGGGCAAATGTCTGTTTTATGATTGTTTGCACTCATGGTACTAGCTGTTTTGTAAATGAGAGAGAACATAGAGAAATTATTTCCCTGGGGAAGTGTAGAGAAACCCTAACAAAACAAAATTGATTTTTACTAATATACTTTATGGGCCTAATTGAGGAGAAATCTAGCAGATGGAAAATAACATGCAATTTGCCTTTTATGCTATTCCAATATCAAATTAAGACAAATAAGATAATGGATCTTTTAAGCATCAAATATA